CTGGCTTCAGACCTAATCGCGGCTGCATCGACCACATATTCACCATTCGTCAGATTATAGAACACAGGCAAGCTTATCAGCGTCCGACAATGGTGGTCTTTCTTGATTTAAAAGCAGCGTTTGACTCTGTTGACCGAGAGGTTCTGTGGCAGTGTCTGTCATTGAAAGGTGTACCTCAGAAGCACCTAAACCTTGTGAACGCTCTTTATTCGAACACTACCAGTCGAGTCAGAGCTTATGGCGAACTGCCATCTGCTTTTGCAACCTCAAGTGGTGTTCGTCAAGGCTGTCCACTTTCTCTATTTTTGTTCAACTTCATCATAGACCTACTGATGGAAATAACGTTCTCGTCGACTGAATTTTCGGGCATTGATCTCCTATCAAGAGGTCCACTTATCGAATTACAATACACAGATATAGTCCTGTTTGGTGAAGATGTTGATAAAATGCGGTGTCTTTTGGTAGCACTGGGCAACAATGCCAGAATGTTTGGGATGCGCTTCTCCCCCTCTAAATGCAAGTTGATGCTCCAGGACTAGTCTGAGTCAACACTTGAACTAGAGATAGGGAGTGAAGTAGTGGAAGTAATCGATCACAATGGCGTAGGTGTATAGACCCTCTTTCTTCCCTTAAACTGTGAGATTGAATTTGCTTCATATCTTTCATTCTACGAACTAATCCCATCTTCCTATACTATATCCTTAAATGCGATCTTTCCTTTATATATTACCACCATTGACTTAACCACTCCTGTGAAGCCGGTGTTCATCTTGCAGTGCTAATGAGGTATGGCAACTTGGACTGATGCACATATGTGCCTGGTCCTACGTTGTAACTGACTGACTGTTCGGGTGCCCAAACCGAAGCAGATGATTTTCTCAGTGAGCCTTTGACCTGAAGGTCTGATCCAGAAGGTAGTGGAACAACGTTAGGAGACGCAATCCCATGGTAGCTGGTGACCAATAGGTTCATACGCCATTTGTTCCTTCAGAATACTGGAGCTCATGTGCGCCATTGGTTTGGAATCAAAGTTTCCCAACTCCCCTAAGTGGATCTCTTATATCCATTAACCCGGTTAAAGCGCCGGACATTATTTTGTGCAAGATCATACGTTAGTTTGAATGCACCCAAATGCCCTGATACGGCCGAGAGAGGGGAGAGTCCGCTCTCCCTCTCCAAATGCTCTCACATGGTCACGCGTACATAGCCTCTGCCAGGGAATTCCTACTCACTGCCTTCTCGTGGCGGGGGTGTTGTTTACGAAAATGAAAGGACGAAAAGCGAATGTCCGGCGCTATAACCGGATCCCAAACCAATGGTGCACATGGGCTCCAGTATCCTGAGGGAACAAATGGCGTATGAACCAATCGTTGGTCACCGGCTTCCATGGGACTGCATCTCCTTACGATGCTCCACTGCCTTGTGGGTCAGACGTTCAGGTCGAAGGCTCGGGGTGTGGCTCCCTAGGTAAACCACCTGCTTCGGTTTGTGCACCCGGGCAGTGTCACAGCCCTCACACATATCAAATGAGATCTGTGTGGCGCATATGTATTTGGTGCCTCCTTGTACTAATACCTATGTGTTAAAATAAATAAATAAAAAACAAATAGTTTGTTGAATACGACTGAATAAAATAGTGATGTTAAAAACTATTGGGACAATCAGTCACAATGTACAACCTTGTACGTATGTACATCGGTTCAAGTTGCACCACTGCATTAGTACATTGTAAGAGCGAATCCAAGAATAAAAAGGTAGTAATAATATTAGTGATTATAAGACGAATTGGCATCGAAGACACGGTCTGAGAAAATATAAACTAGTGAGATAAAACAAAAAACAAGTCATCATGGATTTAGAAGCTCAGAATTCGGGAGAACATAGAGAATGGATGCAATTGCAACATAACAAACAAATTTGAGCCATGTCATTCAAAGTCCTTAAACATTGGCTGTGATAACCACACGGACCCCAACCAGGTAATCTACCTCAATGAATTCATGGACTGATGCCATATTTTCGTTTGACCGTCCCTACCTTTCTTCCAACCTACTTATACACCAGATATCTACCTTATTAGGCGGTGGTTGGGCATGTATAACACATGTCTCAACCACCTCGGTTGATGAGGATTTTCCACCTCACCAACTGACACACCATCCTTACCTAGTACCCTATCCTCAACCCAGACATTACTTACTCGGTGTTCCCAAAATACACGAGCAGTGGTTTGAACACATCTATGGTTGAATACCAGTAACCTACAAATATATTCTGTTATTTTTGATGAGCATGCTTCGCATCCATAAAGTGGAGGATGACAGACTGCTATGCAGTAAAAATATCCTTTAGTTAACAGGTGATCATGTCGCCTACTCTATAAGTGACGTAAGTTGGCAAAAGCCAGCTGAAGCTTGTGAATCCGAGCATATATCTCATCAGACACTCACTGACCAAGACTGATATGACGCCCGAGATAAGTGTAGTGATCGACACTCAACTAGTTTACTACCTATTACTAATCCAGGCTCTGACGCAAGCCAATCCTGAGGCAACATGTTGCAATTTGATGGAGAGAACCGCGCGCCAAATATGTAAGCATTAATGACTAAGTTGGTTAGATTGGATTTTGTCAGTATCTTCATCAACTGGAACTATATCACCTGAGTATTCCAAATCAACAAGTGAGTCGCCTGGTAGGAGGTTAATCTCCGAAAAGGTAAATGATGAAAATGTTACCTTCTCAAGCATGTCTATGACAAAGTTAAATAAAAATTTGGGAGGCGGACAACATTGGCGAACATCATTTCAATGACAGTTCTCCATAAGCTCTGAATCGACCAGTAGTGTTTAAGTAGAGCCTGTGAAAAGTTAACGTACTTTTTTGAGAAGCTTTTCAGTGGCAGATACTGCCACAGAATCTAAAGATTAACAGAGTAGAAGGCCTTGAGGTCAAGGAATACTTTTTTGACGTCGAAAAGTATTTCTGTTCCACAACATTTCGAAGGATGAATATTTGGTCTTTACATCAACGTCTATGTCTGAAACCAGAATGATTTTCTCAGGTTTGCTCTTCAGAAGCTCTAGATAAACATTGAAATGAGGCTAATATCTTAAACACTATATTAGTTAAACTGATTCTTCTATGATTGTCACAAGAAGAATGGAATCTGCTATTTAAAATTACATTTTTATTTAGATATGAAACAGTTGATAGCTTGATCCAAATAAACCCATACACACCATTGTACAGACAAGTTAATATCAGTCAGTCAGTAACAACGTGGAACTTCGTACGTACGTACATCAGTTCGAGTTGCCATACCACATTAGCACAGAGATTCAGTTATCGATTTTTAGTTAGTGTACGATAACTACCTTCGACTTAATGGATTTATCACGAGGAAGTATAATTGAAGAAGAACTGAAGAATGTCAGAGTATCTGTAAACTCACTGATAAGTTGAGTTAGCATCAATGAGTACACGAAATTATCTGAAGGTTGAACTTCAAGACAAGGTAATATGTTAAAAGCCCCCAAATGCCCTGATACGGCCGAGAGAGGGGAGAGTCCGCTCTCCCTCTCCAAATGCTCTCACATGGTCACGCGTACATAGCCTCTGCCAGGGAATTCCTACTCACTGCCTTCTCGTGGCGGGGGTGTTGTTTACGAAAATGAAAGGACGAAAAGCGAACGTCCGGCGCTATAACCGGATCCCAAACCAATGGTGCACATGGGCTCCAGTATCCTGAGGGAATAAATGGCGTATGAACCAATCGTTGGTCACCGGCTTCCATGGGACTGCATCTCCTTACGATGCTCCACTGCCTTGTGGGTCAGACGTTCAGGTCGAAGGCTCGGGGTGTGGCTCCCTAGGTAAACCACCTGCTTCGGTTTGTGCACCCGGGCAGTATCACAGCCCTCACACATATCAAATGAGATCTGTGTGGCGCATATGTATTTGGTGCCTTCTTGTACCGATATCTATGTGTTAAAATGATAAATAATAATTATATGTTAAAAAGAATATGTATTAATAAGCAAAATTTCGAACTCACCTGCAAGGGATCATCAAAAATGCCTAATTGATCACGGAGATACTTGCGTTTTTCAGCAATATCAAGTGCAGGCCACTGGGATCTCAGCTCATCCTCAAGCATCTTCTTATCTAGCTCCGGATTTTTCTGCATACGTATTTCCAATTCATCTTTTAAGAAGGTAGATAATGATTCTGCCTCTTCTTCTATCGTCAAAGGAACATTGCTCATCAACTCTAAAAGCTCCCCTAGAGAGATGTAATTTTCTGAACCTTAAATACCTTCTTCAGCTTTGTCTAACCTTCTAGACTTTTGTTTGACAGAAATCCGACCGAACCTTTCAATCCTCTCGTTTACTGTGAGGTTCATCGCCACTTCAGCTTCCTTCCACGACTGGATCCAAATGCTTTTGTTACTTGAAACAGATTTGCTCTCAAATTTAATCTTTTCCTTTAACACAAAATAAACACAACCCAATTACACTTACAGATTTGTCTTTGGTTGTGCGTAGCTTCTCTTGAACATATTCATCGAAATTCTTTTTTCCGGAAAACGGAATAAGATTATTAGCAGATACCCAAGCCCTTTCTACTAAAGGTCCAAGGAATTGCACATGATATATGAATGAACGCCCTGAAACTTCGAATAACCATTAGACTGTAACCAACCTTTCTCCTTTACATACGAGTCTCCTTCAGGTGAATGATAGACCATACAAGGCCACCAAGGATGTGAACCGACCTTCGCCCAAAATAAGTTACCCACCTGATAATCATCAGAAATGCTGGGCATAATTTAACTGTCCAGGATCAAAGTAGCGCACTATTTACATGCCGCGCTTAAGTTCAAAATGCAAAGCTACCTTTTTTATTAAAGCGAAAATAGTGTGATTCAAATAAAAGAATACAATCACGTAATTCAGTTTTTTAAACGCGTTATTTTTGTGCTTATCGATATGACGATAAAACACCGCACATTTGAAACTAGATGGAATGCGTTTCAGGATCGGGTGGTTGCTTCATCGGCTTCGCAACTTCCTGGGGTAAAAGTCACCCACCGGAGAATGTTCTTGATAAAAGGGAAGGTTCATTCTGGATTACCACTGGTCTGTTTCCACAGGTGTTGGTCATATCATTTGATCAACCAAGGAGAGTCAGCCAAATCAAGATTGTTACTAGCAAGGTCAAAGCTCTCTGCGTATGTATTTAGTATAATATTTATTTCAGTTAATCAGCTTTGATTCGGACGACCACTTTGATCTTTTGGCAGTTAAGAGCTTAGACATGAGGTTTATTTTGGATATTATCATCTTTACTGTACATGGATGTCAATCTCAGGTGCTATCGTTTACTGTCACTGAATTCATAATTACTGATGTAATCCCATCATCAGCTATGTCTTCAAGACCAGGGAAGCGTGTTTTCAGTTAGGGTTATTCGTGCAAATACAATCATCTCGTGTGGCTGAACTATCTTTTAGCAAAGAAAAATCAATTTTCAAACTAAATTTTCGTAGGTAATGTTGTGGTACTGATAAAAAATGGAGATATGTTTGTAAGAGTGTCATTTCCAAACCTAAGTAAAACTATAATAAGGTTATGTGCTGACGACGATTGACGAATATAGATGTAAGGCAATTTTTACCGCTTGCTTATAAATAAACTGGTTTTTAAGTCATATAAATTTGAGATTTTAGTGGGTTAATGAGTTAGTCCAATATACATAACCGCAATAGAACCTTTTTAATTAAACGTATAAGAGTACATCGCTTCTTTATTAGTTGCTTACCGTTACCATTACTTTTTTTGAATTACTACAAAGTGTATTCCTGCTGTTTTAAAGCTTAACTCAAAGGCAATACAAACTCAGAACTTAACATCTATGTGAGAATCCATCACCATATATCAAGTATTGTGGAGGAACTGAAACCTAGTCAATAAATGTACTGTTTTTCATTAATTATGGATTGCTGGTTTATTTCTTGAGACTGAATGGTTATGATATGTCTCGTTTTACAATTAAATTAATAAGCGTGTTGTGGTACACTCTACCTCGACAATTCACAAATATCACGGGTAGTATCAGCCAATATATACCAAGTTGACATTTGTGTTTGATCTTAGATTTCTTATAGTTAGAATGACGTGAAGTTCGTTGTCTGACATTTTCTTATGATTTCTATCCTGAGCCCCAAGGTTTAAATATATTTTTCGTAGTCTTACTATCACACATATCCTTAAGATTATTACTTTGTTGGTGGTTTTATTGTTTTTGTCTTTTTTTTATATCTAGATATACTCATATTACTCAATTTCTGACTATTCAGCACCTACTTTAGAAACGTGTATTTGTACCATAGTTAACTAACCCCTACTGATCAGATTGAAGGGTATTTGTCTATAAGATCACCTATTGTGCTTCATATTGTTGCCTGATAGCAAGTAGATCTGCAGAATCTGGGCTCAATAAATATTTGAAGGGTAAATTCATCTGGTTTTTTAAGGAATAAGATTTGTTAAGGACAATTTACTATATTCGTTAGCAAGCACATTAGTTACGCTAAGTTAATTAAGGAGATTTTTATGTATATAGAGTCCATTTTTTCACGTGAAAGCGAGTGAATTTACAGAACATAGTGACTATTCAGATATGATTAGCATCTAAAATGTTCATACTACTTAGTATTGTCAAATAGATCGAGTTTCTGACTAAATTATTGGTGATTCTCTTCTGTTCTTCCTTTGCTTCTGGTAACATTTGTGTAAACTTTCTCTTGAACCCTTTTAGTATCTCGATACTGTAAGCTATGTAGGATTTGATAATTTTACCAAAGGTTGTAGGGTAAAGTTTCTCGAAAATATAGAGCAGCAAATGTTCAAATGTGAATTGTACTTAAAAATGGTATCTCCTGCCTTTTTAATGGAGAAATTCTAACAAAGCTTAGTATATGAAGTTCTATAAATGCTTTGTAATAAACTGTGTTAAAGTATGGAGATAAACAATATAAGCATAAATTTTTCAGTCTCTCTGAATACTAAGTTTACATCTATGCGGTACGCACCTTTTTAAAACAACTCTCTGATGATAACTATCGGTGTTTGGTTCGGTGTTTTTGCATAGTTAGCGGAAAAAATAACTTGACATGTCCATAGATGCACAGTCTATCCACCAATTGAAGTGTTTACTGCGCAGCAGCTCGTTCTTCCCTAATTTATGTCAGTGAAACATGGCCAGCAAGAGTAGAGGATATTCGTAGGTTACTAGTATTTGACCATAGGTGTCTTCGAAACATCGCTCGTATATCCTGGGACCACCGAGTAAGTAATGCAGTTGTTAGGAAACGGGTACTAGGTAAGGATGGCAAATCAATTGAGGATGTAGTGAAACTTCATCAGTTGAGATGGCTGGGACATGTGTTGCGCATGCCCGACCCCCGACGTGCTATGTTTTCTGGTGTAGGAGTAGGTTGGAAGAAAGCTTGGGGCGGCCAGACCAAAACATAGTACGAATCCATGAAGTCACTGACAAGTGGATTTGAGCCATGTTGGTAGGTGTAGACTACCTGGTTGGGGACCGCGAGATGATAGCAACCGATGGTTAGAGACCCTGAATGACATGGCTCAAAATCGTTTGCAATGGCGCAGGTGCATCCACTCTTTGTGTTCTCCCAAATTCTTATCTTCTGAGTTCTTCATATCCCTTCTTTTTTCCTCTTCCTAAATTTATTTCACTGGATTACACTCCTTAAATAACATCTTCAAACCCTAATATTTTCGATTACTGCTTATACTTTCACTACCTCTACCACTACGGGATTTGAATCGACAATTGTATCTGTGTGCTAATGTGGTATGGCAACTCGAACTGATGTACGTACGTACGAAGTTCCACGTTGTTACTGACTGACTGAGTCTACTATAATATCATGATAGCTCAGTACAGATCCTTTTTATATAAGTGTATATCCCATTAATCTTTTGCTGATAACCGTTGTTGTATTGCAAACCTTTAATGGATGACATCAGTGCTTATTTCCACCAGTTCTAATGCTTATCAAAGTGCAGTTAGATTTCTCATATCAAAGTTGCTCAAAATCGTTTTGGAAATTCCACAGATCAGTCGAAAATTAGTTGTATAAATTTTTAATCTTCAGATTTACATGTAGGTATTTAGTGGTAAGTCTTTCACATCACATCGCCTTATAAATTTATTAGCTTTCTTCATTTCTTTTAGAGTCTTGAAAAAATATGAATTTAGACTTAGCTCATATGTTTCATCACTTGAGTAAATTATCTAAGTAAACATTATTCTTACACGTTGTCCAATTCCTAATTTCTTCTTTTACGAATGGATGGTAAATTATTTATGTATCTAGCCCTTCGACAAGACATTAGTAAATTTCTAAAAAGACGTTTTATGCATCATTTTTAGCTGTCACATTTTCAAGTAACATGAACAACCAAATGTATCACTAAAGAATATAAAGGAAATTCAGCAAAGTAAAATTTCTGATCGATAATATTATTTACTAAACCTGAACAATCGTATTGATTGTGATTTTATAAATAGCTGAGTCTACGGAATCCTTAACCGAAATTACATCATGGAATATGTGCAGACTTCAAGTGTTAAAGCACAGCTGTGTAGTGATCTAAACATAACAAAGAAAAGAAAAGTTAAAAACAATGTTCTGAAAACATTACCCAGGGTGTAGTGAACGAGAACTCGGATAGGAGAAAACCAATTTAATGTTCAATAAAGAATCAAAGTGGTTTAGTGAAATGTGAACATTATACATCAAATACACCGTTTGCACATCTTTGAATAGTCGCTTGCAAGCCTCATTGTTCCTTCATTAATGTTGTGGTCTTGGCTGATTTCTGTTTCTTTCTCTCTTTTCATTTCAATCTTCCCAAACTTCTGCTCACAAGCATTCCATTTCCGACTGGTGTTACACACTACTTATATCTACAGATATAAGTAGTATATATCACGAGAGTAACGTATATAAGGCGAGTTCAAAATAATCAACAGCCCAAGAAAAAAGCGCATTACTAACCCCTAGCACGTTATTCCACCAAAATAATCGTTCAAAATTATCTATTTAGTTAAACGAGTGTGATCAAAAGGAGATCACACCAAAAAGTTTCGCACTGCTGAGGATTTAGAAATTCGCCCATTCATGTTCACACTCTGAGTGCAAAACAACGCGTATAATCTCGTATCCTCCCGTGGCTATAACATCCCATCTAATACGTTTTAGTTTCGTGTTTTACGATTGCGTTTTACTTCGATAATTAGTAACCAGTTGTTACCCCAAAACAATTTTTTCTAATTATTATCCAACTGTTATTATCACCTTTAAAAGTTTTATTTCTTCTTTATATCCATCAAGTGGACAATTATCCCACTTATTTTTGGCCCATAAACTGTTTCCACTTTTCTTTTCTTCGTTAACCGCTGGATCATTACGCAACCGTCTTCTAATACTTGAAATCTCCAAATATAATTTCTTTTTACAATTTTGTAGACTCATTTTATTTATTAAATCATAATAAATGCGACCACAAAGATTTTTTAAATAATATCCTTTTCTGATTTCCTTTATTATTAGTTCATTGAACTTCACCACTCTTTTCTATTTTGTCCAAAAACAATTATGTTTATCAATAACTGTTATTTTGGAGATTACGTCAGGTATCTAACTTTAAGAGTGGCTTGGATCAACAATCAATGACATACCAATAACATGTAGTCAGTAGAATAGTGCATTAATCACACTAACTATACCCCAATTTTTCTGGAAATTTAGCATCATCAAATAAATCACTTTGAAGCATAAGGATTCGGATCGTAGTATATTCAAGAAACAATTTGCCTAGCTTTTTTCTCATCTACTGTTTTGTACTTTTAGACATATATTGATGATTATATGTGGAGATTATATTTGAAATTTAAATAATTCCAACGTTTCCTCCAGGGTATTACTATGAAGAAGTCCAGATAAGTTTACTGAACGAGACGTTGGAATTATTTAAATTTCGATCGCTTAGATTATTTCAAACATAATTTTCACATATAATGACTTCTCCATACTCGGCGCCCAATTTTTGTCAAACTATTCGTTCTAACATTGACGAATATTCGCATATATTGATGGTTGATTATCTATTAATCAGTCTTCTTTAAAAGTGAGTTTTCGGTCAAATATGTTATTATTTTCTATCTCATGTTATTTATTATGATTGGATTGTGGAATTTTAATAATATTATAATAACCGCTTATTTATCAAATATATTTATCACATTTACCTATATATTCAGTGTAATGTACCCATATTTCATGTATGATTTTTATTCTCGTTCTGTCAAATAGGTTGAAAGTAGTTCACAAACAGAACCAGACAATTTTAAATTGAAGTTCGAAAAAACTTTACCTCATTCAGATGGACAACTACAAATTACAGAACTACCAATCAACGATACTCATTTACATCATGTTCGATTAAAAATACTTTCTGGTTACAATCACTTTGTTGCCGTTTATAGAGTGTTATTTGATGGAAAATAATATAGAGAAAACATCTATCTCTCTCCCTCTCTCTCTTTGTATGGTTGATGTTTGTTTGTTGAATATTCAGTTTTATAATTCATGAATTCAACCATCATCATCAACATCAATTATTTTATTACATGTATAAAATCGGAATGCACCTCTTTTTAAATTGACTTGTAGCATCTTTTTCATTAGGATCAATCGTTAAAATTCAATAAATATAGAACAACAATAAGCCGTGTAAAATTTACATTAAAGTTCGTGTAAATTGAATGGTTTTCTTTTACATTTAGTCAGTATAATATGATTCTGAATTTCGGATTGAAATAACATTGAGTTCGATATTGATTATGATATATCTGTAATCTCATCAAAAATTTAATGTATATGTGTACACTTCATTTGCACGTGTATCCGAAATCTGGAATTTTTACATTTAGTTTACCTGGAATAGATATCTTCACAGTGTAATGTGACAACATTATTTAATCATCTCTTAGATTTACAAGAGTGAAATTAATCGTAAACTAAATAGAGTATCTATACCAGTAGAAAAAGAATCGATCAGTCAATTAACGATCTTAGAATTTTAAATATTGTATTCCTGAAATATTGATCTCAGTTAAGGTAATGTTGGAAACCTGGAGGCACTAAATAGCTGTTTTGTCGTAATATGAAATCCCTCACCTTTACATACCCTCTTCACTAGGGATCGAAACCAGTATTTTCATTTCTCACGCTAAACACTTAAACATTGGAAACACTGAGTCAGCGTTCAATGATACAGTGTTAAATTCGACCAATTTAGGTCATAACACAGGGATCATCAACCAACATTGATGACAACTGTCTCTCTCGTGATATGTCTAAATTCTACCAGTCATAACCACTCCAGGAAAATCTTGACGTCAGTCACAAGTAATTGGACTGTTATAGTTTAATTAATAGGGTTGTCAAAAGAAAGTTATGCATGCCGTTAAAAAATACTGAAACTCACTTATTTGACTAGTATCATAAAATTCAATACTTCAAGTTATCGTATGGTGAGATAGATTAGAAAGTTTGCTACATTTATCTTGCATAGCAATTTATACAACAAATCACTGACATTAACACAATGTCTCATTAATTGCTGAACGACATTCTCAACTTATCATCAACTTATGTTATTTCTCACGCCACTAGCATAGCGTTCACTTATCCATTTTTTACCATACTTATCACAAGATTTTCCAAGCTTTAGAACTGCAAATCAGAATGTCAGATGGTCAGCTAAATGATAACAGAAAACGTTTATAAGTTAGATTTATAACCCATGTGACTACTGATTTAGCAGAAGACGATGATACACTACAATTTCGAGAATCTCAGCAACTGTATATTTAAGGCATTTAATATAAATCTTGATAATAGATTTATGATTGATTATAATCCATTAAAAAGGTAAACCGCTACTACGTTCATCGTTTGTTTTTGAAATGAGTTATATGAATAAAAGCCATCTAGTCCAAATATATCACTAACTACTCTAGTCGGTTAATATCAAACTTTAATCTTATATTTTAATATCGCTTAAATTAATCTAATTGAGAACTGTGTCCGAACAATAACATGCAGTCAAAGAAAAAATAGGTTCAGTTCGTGGTAGATTTTATTTACCAACATGTTCGGTTAAAATACATTTTGGTGATTGATGATTTTCATAAAGCAAATTTAAAATCATCCATGGAATAATGTAAAAACTGAAACATAAAAGCAAATCAGACCATCAAGACTTGATAGTGTAGTTAATGACATAATAATTTCGTCAGTTGAAGATTAGTCATGTTGCTATATCTGAACAAAGAATAAATGAATGATAACTACGAATTATTATGAACAATTATTACATATATTCTTATTAAACAATTATTAAATAACTGAATTATATATATTCCTTTTATCATAAGCTTTCATTTGACTTATCAGCTACTGCAATACTATTTACCATTCTTAACTTTTTTGCAATTAATCAGTTACACTATCCCACACTCAACTACTGTTGACTTGATCCTGGGTAATCATTGTTTTTCATATTATGGTGTGATGCGACCTGGTCTGCTTGTGTATAAACTAAACATGTCAGAAATATACGATTCACACAAAGGAAACTGATATTTGTGTTTTGGGTTGAATGGACAAAACGTTAATATGCAGAGGACCAATAAGGGCTCAGAGTTGACTCAAGGCTGTTCGTTCTGGTTCAAATATTGTTGGTTTAGCACAGGGACGAGTTCATAAGTCAGTGTTCTGATTTGTGACTTTGTCACGTGATGTTTTGACAAGCTATCGGACATGCCAAAAGTTAACTCATTGTTTAGCTATGTATTTCATTCACATAGTACTTAAATACTTGCGCCTGTCACCCTCGTAGAGAAGCGTAGGTTGACCACAACCATTCTCTATTCAACTGTTTTGTTCAATCCTTTCCTTTTACTATTCATCCTTTTGATGTCTGCTTCCAATTTCCGACTTAGTGTGCTCTTCGACCTTCCTCTCATTCATGAAGTAGCGTGATAATAAAAGGGTGTTTTCAAAAACGTGTGACTATTATATGAAAACTGGTAGGTCTGATGTGCCACAACTTCAAATGAAAACTTCAGCCGATTACTCAAAAGCTTTTTTTTAATGGAAACTATTTTCGTGATAGTGAATTCAGTAAAAACCGCTTAATTCTAACCAGAAATCGGGTTCGAGTCCCGGAAGGAACACCAGCCCTGAGATGTAGGTACCCCCAGCTGACAAGCCCCAAAACGGTCGAAACGCGCACCCTGGATTCCACTCCCAGCTACCATTCATCTCTGTTTATCATGCTTTCTGTTCGGTTGTATCATCTTTAATTTATCAACAGTAAAAAAAACTAGTACAAACAGATGACGATATGGAATTCTATTAAATACACAACACTGTTGCATAATTTTGTTGTAGGTAGGGACTTATCAATGAGTGAAAACAGAAAATTTTAGCTATCTATTTTAGGATAAAGCATTCACTTGATGTTTTCACCCTACAATGGAATGAGATTTATCAAAATACATAGATGATAATATGAGTTTCTTGTAATCTACAATCATGTAGTCTTCGATACCAGGAAGAAAGAATAGTCTATTATCCATTGTTATTTGAAATTCGTACCTTTCAATGACTGCAAAACGAAACAATATGGTTTCTACGTTCAAAGTTTACTCAGAAAATTTCCACTTAGTACTGTATTTTTCATTTATTAGAAAATAAAAATCTCTAATAATACTTAATATCATTTACTTAGTTTCCAAATTTTCATAAAAACATGAAATATGAAATTGATTTGAATATCTAGAATTTTTCTTATACTCATTTCTGATGCAATGAAAAAGAAACAAAATTTTCTGCGAAATATTTTGCTTGAAAAAGAGATATGGAAAAATGTGCACTACCAAATTCATACGGTAAGGATTAATGGAAATGAAGTATTTACTTACGCCTGTTACTCCTAATGGAGCATAGGCCGCCGACCAGCATTCTACAACCCACTCTGTCCTGTGCCCTCTTTACTAGTTCCATCCTATTCTTGTTCATTTTTCTCATATCTATCTCCATTTCTCGGTGTAATGTGTTTTTTGGTCTTCCTCTCTTCCTTCGACCTTGAGGATTCCATGTGAGGGCCTGTCTTGTAACGCAGTTCGGTGCTTTCCTCAGTGCGTGTCCTATCCAGATATTCTTCAGTTGTAAATATGCTACTCTTGCTTTGCCAATCCGTGCCTTCACATCTGCATCAGATCCACCGTGTTCATCGATGATGCTGCCCAAATATGTAAAGGTTTGTACATCTTCCAAATCTTCTCCGTCAATTGTGATTGGATTGGTGCATGCTGTGTTGTATCGAAGAATCATGCTTTTCCCTTTGTGTATATTGAGACCTATTGCTGCTGAGGCTGCTGCTACACTGGTCGTTTTCTCCCGCATTTGTTGTTGCGTATGTGATAGAAGAGCCAGATCATCTGCGAAGTCTAGATCATCCAACTGCATCCTAGCTGTCCACTGTATCCCGTGCTACCCTTCAGATGTTGACGTCTTCATGATCCAGTCGATCACCAGGAGAAAGAGAAAGGGTGAGAGTAAGCAACCTTGCCTGACACCGGTCTTTACTTCGAACGACTTACTCAACTGTCCCCACGCACGATTTTGCAGTTTAATCCATCATAGGAATTCCGTATGATATTGACTATCTTCTGAGGCACACCGTAGTGTCAAAGAAGCTTCCATAGTGTTGTTCTGTCTACGCTATCAAATGCTTTTTCGTAGTCAATGAAGTTGATATAGAGTGATGAATTCCATTCAATTGATTGTTCCACAATGATCCGTAGAGTTGCGATTTGGTCTGTACACGATCTATCCTTACGGAATCCTGTCTGTTGGTCTCGAAGTTGGGCGTCTACACAGTCCTTCATCCTGTTTAGCAATGACCTGTTAAAGACTTTTCCTGGTATTGAGAGAAGAGTGATTCCCCTGTAGTTGTTACAGTTGCTGAGATCGCCTTTCTTTGGAATTTTGACCAGAAGTCCTTCTTTCCAGTTTTTTTGTACCTGTTCCTCATCCCAGATCTTTCTGAAGAGAGTTTTGAGTATCCTTGCAGTTGCCACCACGTCTGCTGTCAGTGCCTCTGCTGGAATGCTGTCTAGTCCTGCTGCTTTGCCACGCTTGATTTGTCTGACAGCCAAGCTGTTCTCTTCAAATGTTGGTGGGCCAGCATCGATTGGGAGGTCTGTGAGTGCTGTTTCGATGTTGGGTGGGTTCAGTGTGGCTGGTCGATTCAAGAGTTCTTTGAAGTGTTCTACCCACCTGTTTCGTTGTTCTTCAATGTTGGTGATTATCTTGCCTTCCTTGCTTTTCACTGGTCGTTCTGGTTTACTATGATTTCTAGAGAGTTTTTTTATTGTGCCATACTTACTAACTACAGTCCATACGATTGTCAGTTCTGATGTTCTTCTTCACCTGCTTGTTTACTTCTGTGTATTCAGCTTGTGCCTTGGTTTTTCTGCTCTTGTTCGACTGGTATTGATTGCTGCTTTCTTGTTCCTCCTTTCTTGAATCTCATCCAGTGTATCGACCGTGATCCATTCCTTGTGATGGTGCTTCTTTTGGCCCAGAACCTCATGACATGTTGAAGTGATTGCCTCTTTTATCTCTTTCCAGTTGCTCTCAATAGTAGTTTCTTCTCCATTGAGTAGATCATGAAAGGCCTGGAACTTATTGCTGAGGGTTATCTTGAATTTGTTGAGTTTGTCATTATCTCGAAGAAGAGCCGTATTAAATTTTTGTGATATTGTCCTCCCCGTAGTCCAGTGCCTCTTGAGTTTCAATTTCATCTTGGCGACCAGCAAGTGATGATCTGATGC